TGTTTGACTTCATAATGGCTGCCATTCTTACTGGAGTGAGATGGTATCTTAGAGTAGTTTTAACTTGCATTTCTCTGATTGCTAGAGATGATGAGCATTTTTTCGTATATTTGTTGATTGATTGTATATTCTCTTCTGAGAAGTGTCTGTTCAGTTATTTGGTCCATTTGTTGATTGTATTATTATTATTATTTTTTTTTGGTGCTTATCTTGTTCAGCTCTTTATAAATCCTAGAGATTAGAGCTCTATCTGATGTGTGAGGGGTAAAAATTTGTTCCTAGGATGTAGGCTCCCTATTCACATCACATATTGTTTCTTTTGCTGAGAAAAAACTTTTTAGTTTGAATTCATCCCATGTGTTGATTCTTGGTTTTCATTCTTGTGCTATAGGCGTCTTATTAAGGAAGTTGGGGCCTAGCCCCACGTGATGGAGATTAGGGCCTACTTTTTCTTCTATTAGACGCAGAGCCTCTGGTTTAATCCTTGATCCATTTTGAGTTAACTTTTTACATGGTGAGAGATAGGGATTCAATTTCATTTTGTTGCATATGGATTTCCAGTTTTCCCAGCACCACTTGTTGAAGTTGCTATCCTTTCTCCAGTGCATGCTTTTGGCACCTTTGTCTAATATAAGGTAGTTGTAATCTTGTGGGTTAGTCTCTGTGTCCTTTATTCTGTACCTTTGGTCTACCAGCCTGTTTTGGTGCCAAATACCATGCTGTTTTTGTTACTATTGCTCTGTAGTAAAGTTTAAGGTCTGGTATAGCGATACCACCTGTTTCACTCTTCCTGCTTAGGTTGCTTTAGTTATTCTGGGTCTCTTATTTTTCCAGATGAATTTCATGATTGCTTTTGCTATTTCTATGAGGAATGCCATTGGGATTTTGATCGGAATTGCATTGAACCTGTATAGTGCTTTTGGAAGTATGGTCATTTTAACAATATTAATTCTGCCTATCCATGAGCAAGGTGGCTCTTTCCATCTTCTAAGGTCTTCTCCTATTTCTCTCTTCTTCTATTTCTGTAGTTTTCATTGTATAGATCTTTTACCTCTTTTGTTAAGTTGATTCCCAGGTATTTTATTTATTTATTTTTTTTGGAGGATATTATGAATGGGGTAGTTTTCCTCATTTCCTTTTCAGAGGACTTGTCACTGATACACAAAAATGCCTTTGAGGGTTGGGGATGTGGCTCAAGCGGTAGCGCGCTCACCTGGCATGCGTGCGGCCTGGGTTCAATCCTCAGCACCACATACAAACAAAGATGGTGTGTCCACCGAAAACTAAAAAATTAATTAATCAAAATAAGAGTAGCCTGCACAACATAACAAGGGCAAGCCTCAAAAAATAGTTAAAAAAAAGACAAAAATGCCTTTGATTTATGGGTGTTGATTTTATGTCCTGCCACTTTGCTGAATTCATTTACTAGTTCTAGAAGTTTCTTGGTAGAGTTTTTTGGGTCTTCTAGGTATAGAATCATATCATCAGCAAATAGTGCTAGTTTAAGTTCTTCTTTTCCTATAGTTATTCCTTTAATTTCTTTTGTCTAATTGCTCTGGCCAGTGTTTCAAGGACTATGTTGAATAGAAGTGGTGAGAGAGGGCATCCCTGTCTTGTTCCAGATTTTAGAGGGAATGCCTTCAGTTTTTCTCCATTTAGAATGATGCTGGCCTGAGGCTTAGCGTAGATAGCTTTTAAAATGTTGAGGTAAGTTCCTGTTATCCATAGTTTTTCTAGTGTTTTGAACATAAAGGGGGGATAAATACTGGGGAATGGAGCCCTGGGGCCCTCAACCACTAAGCTACATCCCCAGCTCTTTTTTGTATTTTATTTAAAGACAGGGTCTCCCTGAGTTGCTTAGGGCCTTGCTAAATTGCTGAGGCTGGCTTTGGTCCTCCTGCCTCAGCCTCCCCAGCTGCTGGGATTACAGGTGTACACCATCGTGCCCAGCTCATATGCCTTCTTATATGATGCTATGAGAAGTGTGTAGCACCATGTTTAGACTATTCTTGTCAAAAACACTTCACTTAGACATAATCAAGTCTTTAGAACTAACTACATTTATACAAAAATACAAGAGAAATAGAAACTGATGAAGTAACATCATAAGTAAAGAATCAGATAAATTCAGAATGTCAGACATTTAAAAATAAGCTCAGGCTCTTCAGAAACCAAATTTCTGGAACACACACTAATACCACTATGTTTGTAGGCAGACTGTATTTGTGCCAAGGTCTCTACCTTGAGTCCCTGGGGCAGTCACTGAGGCCAATAAACTCCTTTCTCCAAATGTTTTGAAATGCATAAGATTACAAAATAAAAGTATAAAATAAAATAATTATGTTGAAATATAGCTACTAAGATACTTTAAAATATGGTAGGTACATACTTCATTATGAAGGCATTAAATAACAGGTGCTAACAGCAGGTCTAATAACAGTGATTTCAAAGTAGTGACGAATGTAAATGATATTTCTGAGATATGTGCAAGAACTGTGATTTCTACAAGCGATAGTCACAGGTGCTGCTGATTATTGTAGATCGTTACCTTCATTTATAATGAAAGAAAGTGTTAAATATCAATTAGAGAATTGGAGAAAATAAAGATGTCATTTTTTCCCCCATCCAAGTTTATGAACTGTTTGAATTACATCCATGGCCTTCTAGAATAAGAACTTCAGGTCACCTGGTGTGGTGGTCCAAGGTTGTAATCCCAGCAGCTCTGGAGGACCACTGCCCCTGAAGCTCTCCTGGCAGACACCACTAGAGAGGCCACTGGAGGTGGCTTCACAGGCAGCCTTGTTCTCTCAGATTCCTTTTTCTTTTATGGTAAAAGAAAACGAACAAACAAACAATCAAAAAACAAAACAAAACAAAAAACCAATAGAAATGGGATAGAGAAAAATGTACACACCAAATGGTGGGTAAGTAAATGGGGTGAAATGAAACAATTCCTCAAGTTTTTGCCCTGAATTCCATATTTCTGATTTGCTGCACCATGAAAACCTAAATATTTAAATATCACCTGTGTAATAAAAACATAAAGCCAAAAAAGTTAGCTTAAATATAAATACAGAAATAACACCAAGAGGGTGCTAGGAGAAGGAAACTCAGATACCCAAACAACAGTGTCCATCTTTATGGGAAGAACTGGGCAGATGAGGGATATAGGTGGGAAAACCGACTTTCACTTTTTTTTTTGTGGTACTGGGGATCTAACCCGGGGTGCTTTACCATTGAGTAAATACTCAGCTTTTTAATTTTTTTTTAAAAAAAGATTCTTCTTGCTGTTGATAGATCTCTATTTATTTATACACAGTGCTGAGAATCCAACCCAGTGCCTCACACATGCCAGGCAAGCATGCTATTGCTGAGCCACAGTCCCAGCCCCAGCATTTTAAATTTTGAGTCAGGGTCTTACTAAGTTGCTGAGAGCCTCACTGTTTTGCAGGGGCCGGTCTTGAATCCCTGATCCTTCTGCCTTCGCTTCCGGAGTCGCTGGAATTACAGGTGTGGGCTACCACCCTCCTCAGCTCCTTTCTAAAATTTTGAATTAAGAAAGTACGTATTTGATATTCCAACTTTTTTTTTTAGAGTACTGGAGTAGTTTTGGTGTGAATGGTCACAGAGGTTCTTCCCCTTTTTAGAATACTGGAAGGGCTAGTAGACACAAGCTGGTGTATATACGACTGCAATAATGAAATGTTTTTTGTAGGCTTTTGAAGACAAAGAAGGAGTTGTGTTAAAAGGAGAACGAAGAAGAAATTAGTGTCAAAAATGGAGAGGCATCCGAAATGGGAGGGTGCAAACATTCCCCCCTTCAGGGGAAGGTTTTTGTTGTTTTGGTACTGGGAATTGAACCCAGAGGTACTTTACCTCAGTGTTCCATTCCCAACCCTTTTTATTTTAAGGCAAGGTCTAAGTTGCTTAGGGCCTTGCTAAATTGCTGAGGCTGGCCTCCCATTTTGGTCCTCCTGCCTCAGCCTCTGGAGCCTCTGGGATTACAGGCAAGCACAGTCACGCAGGGCTGGGGGGGGGGGGCGGCAGGTTTGGAAAAGCCCCAGAGACAATACCTGTGTAAAGCAGGTATGTAAGTAGGGGGCTGTGAAAGCACTTAAATTCCCAACTCAAGTCTGGTGTTTACTCCCTGTTGGCACAGTGCTAAGCCTTTGCTTGTAATACACGGAGGAAACGGCCTGTTATTTTGCAGCAGAGCCAACTGGGGGGTTGTGATCAGGGGAACAACATAAAGAAACCTGTTTGCATTGTGTGTACATCTCAGATAGACAGGATGGCAAAATAGGGGGCCGACCCGCCAGGTACGGAGCCCCGACCTTGGCACCATGCACGATGGCCTCTTCCGGTGAGCACTAGGGTGAGGGAGACGCAGGAGCCAACAAATGGCCACAAGCCCCCTAAAGAGCCAGGGGGTGGGCTTCCCGTACAACGAACGTTCCAGAGGCAGGCCTCATCACTGCCGCTAAAGCTGCCCCACGGAGACACCGCCGAGAGGCCGCCCTGTTCTCTCTGGCCACTTCAACACCCAAGTCTGTGTGGCTTTATTTTGTTCCGGGGACGCGCACCGGGTCTTTGCCGTTCTTTCGTCCTGGAGGGTCTAGTGCCTCACTCACCCTACCCCCACCCCGCCCTAACGACGCACACAATCAGCTCCGGGCTCCAACAAGCCCGCGACTCGAGGTGGAGAGGCGACTCGAGGTGGAGGAGGGGCGCCCGCCCCTCCCCCGGCTGCACGTCAACGAACTCGGAACTACGCATCCCGGCGTGCCCCGGGACAGCACGGGCGCAGAGGCGCGTGCGCGGCGGGCAGCCGTTGGCTGGAGCAGCGGATGCGCAGGTCGCTGTGTTGTGAGGTCTACGGGCGCTGGCAAATCGGGCCCAGGATGTAGAGCTGGCTGTGCCTGACGGCGCGTCTGACGCGAAGTTGGGTGGGGTAGAGAGTAGGGGGCGGTAGTCGGGGGTGGTGGGAGAAGGAGGAGGCGGCGAATCACTTATAAATGGCGCCCAAGCAGGACCCGAAGCCGAAATTCCAGGAGGGTGAGTCTGTGCCCTTGGGAAAAGGCATCTAACGGCGCAGGGGAGGGAGGCGGGCTCGGGACGGTCGAGGCTTGCGGGCCGGGCGAAGCGCGAGCCGCGCCCAGAGAAGGCGGCGGGCTTTGCTTTGTGCGGGGAAAGCGCATTGCAGAGGGTGAGTTGTAGTGCGTCATCTGGAAAAAATGTTCTGTGAAGCGAAAGCATAGCTAGGGCTTCGGAGTGGAGAGGGAGCGCTTAGTGCGTGGCAAGGCGTTCGTGCATGTTATTGTTCTGAGGAAGAGGGCGCGGAGAAAGCAGCCTATTGTAGGGAGGCGACTGGGGCGCGATGGCGGCGGTTAGGGGAAGTGATGTGGCGGTGTGTGGGGGGGAGCGGCGCCTGTTTTGCGAGCTCGCGCCGGTTGCCTGGCCTCGTGGTCAGCAACGGCTGGCGGTCCCGGGCCGTCTGGAGTACCCTCAACCCTCCTCGGCATGGTTGAAACGTTCGGTCTCCATGTTGTTGTGGAGCGTGGGGGTTGGTTTGGCGCCCCGGGGCGGGAGAACTGCGTTGTAAAATGGCCGCTGCAAGATGGCCGCGCCATCATGGCAGCTGGCGTCTCGGCGCCGTGCGCCGGCGCCGCTTCAGGGCAGATGCGGCGCCCCCTTGCACGGCGACCTCGCGCAGACCCGGTGCTAACGTTTACCTCAGTGGTGGGTGGGGATTAAGGGGGAAAAAAATCCCGAGGAGCGGGTAGGGCGTTTCCGTCAGTTTGGTGTTGCCCGAAGGCATCATTTTAGCTTACCTGAGAGCACCGCGCCTAAATCCTACGGTAAAGTGAGTGCGCTCTTCCTGTGCGGTCGCTCGTAAAAAATAATTAAAAGCGACTTCAGTGTTAAGGGCTAAGTCCCTGGTCTTAACGTGATTTTTAAAAAATACAGCAGTTTGACCAGTTGCAGTAATATTTGATTCACAATAATTGGAAAGCTTATTGATTATTATTTTGGATTTACTGACGTTAGAATCTGACTTCCAGTGAAGATCGCTCTTCCAGTGCTTCCAGTCCATCTATTTGGGTGGAGATTTAAGATTAAACTGAAAAGGAAGTAAAACTGTAGGCAAAGAGGAACTGCATTTCTCTATGGATGTACATGCCAGTTACCATAAGTTCCATGTCCAAACGCTTGCATAATTTTCTCATTTAAGATTTTTCAAAAGTTTTTGATATATATATTTTAGTTTTTAGTTGTAGTCGGACACAACCCCTTTGTTTTATTTATTTATTTTATGTGGTGCTGGGAATCGAACCCAGGGCCTCACACGTGCTAAGTGAGCGCTCTATGGCTGAACCCAAGCCCAGAGTTTTCAGATTTTTAATGCGTTGAAATTACTTCCACGAATCATAAAACCCAAACAAGTATATTGAAACTATGGTGTATTTAAGGGGTTTCAGGGGGTGTTTTCGGTGATAGGTGGCCATTAATACCTGTTTCTCTCATTTGGGTAAACTGACTTTTTATAGATTTCTTTATTCTTCTAGGTGATTCAGAACAAGGTTTTTGTTTTTGTTTCTTTGTTTTTTAAATGGTACTTGGTTTTGAACCCAGGGCCTCACATATGCCAAGCAAGCACTTTACCACTAGTCAGTGGATATAATGAAAATGGAATGTGAACTTGAATGGGGAAAATATTGTGTTTATCATCTAGCTGAAATTTATTATTTCAATTATCAATTTACATCCTCACAAAAGAAAACAGAAGTATTAGCTGTTCGTTTTTATGTTTCACTGTTACCTGAAAAATATATGAAGCTATTGTTTTTGGTACTGGATATGGAACCCAGGGGCCCTTTACCACCACTGAGTTACATATCCTTTAATTTTTTTTTTTTTTTTTTAAGTTGCTGAGGCTGATGTGGAACTTGGAATCCTCCTGCCTCATCTTCCCTAGTTGCTGGGATTACAGGCATGTGCTGCCACACCTGGCTTATTATTAAGATGTTATTTATGCTCATTGCTTCAAAATTATGGTAGTTAATTGGCTTAGCAGTTAAATCTTGTTTACTGCATTAAATAAGGGACTCCCTAATATCAGAGAAAGCAATGTTTAAAATAGCTTTGAAAACAGCTTCAACGGTTGTTTTCTTTTGTAATTTGGTGTGTTTTATGTGTTTATTAAAATATTCTGAGAGGTCATAAAGCTTCACCAGGCTATCAGTACAAAAACTTAATCGCAGAATCCCTCCGGAGGGGCAGTCAAGGGTGTCCATTTTGGAGGAAGGAAGTGCTTTAGTTCTAGCAGGATGTTAGAGTGAGGTGGAGAATAACAGCTAACCAGAATCCCTGTGCTGGTTATAGTTGTATAATTGGAGAAGAGTAGGAACAAAGACACCCCTGGGCAAGATTGTGAAAGCTATTTAAGGTTTTCTACATTTACGGTTATTTTCCAGGTATGTTTTCACTTGAATTTCGAAGCTGAGTTGTATCACCTTTGAGAAATTTTAAGATGTTAAGAGAATATTTTGAAAAAATATTTAGTGCTAACAAGATTATCTTGAAATGCTGTAGAAGAGTAGAAATAAGAGTTGTCATAAAATGTCCCCCCCCCCCAATTCTTTTAATTTTTTTATTTATGTGGTGCTGAGGACCGAACCCAGGGCCTTTTGTATGTAAGGCAAACATTCTACCCTTAGCTACAACCCCAGCCCCTCTCCCCCCAAATTCTTATAAATGCAGAAGTTTTTTCTTACACGGTAAAATGTATTTTCCATTAGCAGTTTAAGCAGAGTGACTTTTTTGCACAGAACTTGGTCTTCTACTTGAAGTTCTGTTAAAGCATAGGATAGCACAGTGTCACAGGCCTGTAATCCCAGCCACTCCCAGTGACTTTGTAGCCTGAGACAGAAGGATGGCAAGTTGAAAGCAGGTCTGGGCACTGAAGTGAGACCCTATCTCAAAGTGAAAGGGTTTGGGATGTAGCTCAGTGGTAAAGCGCCCTTGGGTTCAATCCACAGTACCCACCCCGACACCCCCCCAATGGGATAAAACAAAATCGTGGGCATCTAGTCATTGTTTGAGGGAAGACTGACTCTGTCAGGAAAGTACCAACCAGTGGGAGAATGGAAAACTTTGAATTTGACAGCATTTGGGCAGAATTACCTTTGTAGTTTGATATTAGAAAACATTTAGGGTGGAGAAAGTTTCCTATCTGATAACAGTGGGTTGCTGGTTCCCCAATCTTTTTGTCCATTGCCAAGAAAAATAGGCTTTTTTCTTTCTTTCTTTTTAAATCATGGTTTATACTCTTCAGGTAGCTGTTATGTTTTTTCAACTAAATATTATGGATAGGTAACTAGAGATCCAAGAGGGCCTCAGTGCAGTAGTTTTGGTATCAGCAGTCAAGATTTTTTTTTAAAAAGTATGCTATTTCAGAATGCCTTGAAAATATATCTGGAGGGCTGGGGATGTGGCTCAAGCGGTAGCGCGCTCGCCTGGCATTCGTGCGGCTGGGGTTCAATCCTCAGCATCACATACAAACAAAGATGTTGTGTCCGCCAATAACTAAAAAATAAAAATATTAAAAAAGAAAGAAAATATATCGGAAAGTGAAACGAGAGAGATCCATATATGATCTTTGGTGCTACTGTTTATTAGTAGAGTAGTTTACCCATTTTAGTTCTTGTCCTTGGGATGTTGGAGAAGTTTTTGACTAATCTGTAATCACCTTAAAATTCAAGCTGGATATAGGCCCAGTAGCCTCTAGCAGTAATTCTTCAAAGAGGAATTGCACAAAGATTTTATGAGAATTTTGATTTAAAAGTGAAAGTTATTGCAGAGTCTAATAATAAGAGATTCTGTCTCTGGTGAGGCTTGAAATTAAATACATAGTTGAAGAATACTCTAAAAGATCTTTGATTAATTTTGGGAATTCTGTAGGATGAAATTTAGACTTCATAGCATGACCTATATGATGTTTCATATTTCATAGTCTCTGTGACTTTCACATGTTTATCCTGTGCTCCAGGGGTAGTGAACTGCAAAGTATTTCTGATAGTGGTTAACACTTCAGTGCTTTTGTACGAGTTGTTTACACTATCTTCCTTCTTTGTGACTCTCCCAAGTAGCTCATTAGGCATTCTCTCTATTACTTATGAAGGTAGTTACTGCATGAAATCCAGGAAATTGTACAAACCTATTTGTCTAGGTGTGAGGGTCCTTTATTAATCTGTCAGTGCCTTGCACAATAGGTCGCATACAAACCCAGATAACTGTATTGAGAAATATTAAGATACGCTGTGGAATTAACTATTTCAGGTTGAAGGTATATCCATAAATCATGTTTTTCTTTTAAAGCTATGCTTTAAAAGCAATACCATGTAATTTTAAAATGGTGGAACCTATAGTTAACTAGAATTGGTCTAGTAGGTTATTTCAGTTTTTACAGCTAAAGCAGTTTGACCCTGTTGAATACTTTAATTGCCTCTGGATGTGTTGAAACCAAATGGACAGAAAATTGTGTGAGATCTTTGTTACATACCAAGTGTAATCTGAGGCAATTACCAGAAATTGCCTGCATGATTTGTTTTATCATAGAGATGAGATGTCTCATCCAATAGCACTCTTGAGATTTTGTATGGTTTTATTATTCTAATGATGAGCTCAATATATAGTGTAAGTTCTAAAGGTGAGGATTTTTTTTTGTCTATTGTTTTGTTCATTGTACATTATTGAACATATTTGAGGAATGAACACAGATAGCTGATGCCTTAAAATTCCAGCCAACTTGCATGCACATTGAAATTTCAATGTGTAGAATATTTTGCTAAGTAAAAGCATAGGAAGTAGAGATGTAGGTGGAAGTTTAAATTCCTAAAACTTACAAAAATACATAAAAAAGCATTTTAAAAATTGGATTCCTGGGGCTGGAGTTGTAGCTCAGTGGTTGAACGCTTGCCTAGTATGTGTGAGGCACTGGGTTCCATCCTCAGCAGCACATAAAAATAAATAAGATATATATAACTTCAAAACAAAACCCTGGATTTCTGGATAATACTGTTAGAATAAATTGATCATCCTTCTCAATAGGTAGTGCAGTAAATAATTATTTGCTTAGCGGTTGATGATTTAAATAAATTGCTAACACTAATTGTTTTGGTTTATTTTATATGCCCTGGCATAAGCTTATGGTGAAGTTTAATCTGAATTTTATATGCCCTGTGCTTTACCCATTTTTCCTAATATTGCTAGGATTATAATAAAATGTGATGGTTCTCAGATTTGAATCTATATATGGAAAGGGTTTAGAATTAATGCAATACTTTTCACTTTTACAGGTGAGCGAGTGCTGTGCTTTCATGGGCCTCTCCTTTATGAAGCAAAGGTATGGAATCTTCCTTTTGAGAAGTTGGCCAAAACTATTGGTTAAATCTACTTCTAATATCAAATTTCAGTGTTTTCTTTGTTGGGTTCAGTAGGAGAGCTGCTTTTTTTTCATAGATTGCACCTCCCCCCCTTTTTTTGTTCTGGGTTTCTTACTACTTAGTGGGTCAAACAAATTAAAACATTCTTACTCATGGTATCTTACCTAACTTACAGAAGATTCTTTAGGTAAAGTAGCATTTGAGGAAAATGATAGAAAGTGAAGGTTGGTTGTGGAAGGAAATAGTATTTTGTAGTTAATAAGGGAGGGCTGCCAGTTACTTTTATATGCAAATATAATCTGCTGAGTAAGGATTGAGCTGATTGTTTTATAAAAATTGAGCTGATTGTTTAGTGTTACAGGTAACTGAAAAATACTAAAAACAATATACTTGTTGGTGCACTGGCTACTTTTAAAACCTGGCAGGTGTGCTCCCTCCTTGATCATTGTGTGCTCAGGTTATAAAAACCAGTATAGTACATTTAGCCAAAGGTAAATAATGCATTTTGTTTAATTAATTTATTTTTGTGGTGCTCAGGATTGTGTATGCTGGGCCAGCAGTCTATTATTGTGCTACACATCCTCACACTTTTTTGTGTGAAGGGGGGAGGAAGGCAGGTTTTGTTGTTGTTGTGTGTGTGTGTGTGTGTGTGTGCGTGGTGCTGAGGCTTGAACCCAGGGCTTTATGCAATGCAAGGCAAGCACTCTTCCAACTGAGCTATATCCCCAGCCCCCTGCAGGTTTTGTTTTGAGATGCCATTTCCCTAAATTGCCCAGGCAGGCCAACAACTTGGGATCTTTCTGCCTTACCCTTCTGAGTGGCTGGGATTAAGGCATGTACCATTGTACGCAGTCCAAAAATGTTTCCTTTCTGATAACTTCCTTTTTTTTTTTTTTGATACTGGGAATTGAATTAAACCCAGGGGCACTTAACCAGTGAGCTACATCCCCATCCCTTTTTATTTTGAGACAGTTTTGGTAAGTTGCTGAGGCTGATGTCAGACTTTCAGTCCTCCTGAGCAATTGGGATCACAGGCTTGAGCTGTACCTGGGCTTCTGATAACTTTTTTTTTTTTTTTTTTTTTTTTTTTAAGTACAAATTTTTGGTACTAACAAATTAGTAGGGGATTGAACCCAGGGCCTTGCTTGTGCTAAGCCTACTCTACCACTGAGCTACAGCTGCAGTACAAGACACACATTTAAACACTTCAGTGTACTTTTTATAGCAGCAGTTTTAAAAGTTGAACCATAGGGTTGCTGATGTAACTCAGTATTAAGAGTGTTTGTCTAGCATACTCAAGGCCCTGGGTTGAATCCCATTACCACCAAAACCGAGGGGGGGGGGAACCTATGCACATTATAAAATACAAAATAGTATGATGTTCAAAGGCCATTTCTACATAAATATCTGGTGAATAGTTTATCTTTGTGAAAATATTCTTAGCATAATTATAAATTGTCAGTTCTTTGCTAACCATTTTCACTTTTTGTTATTTGTGTTTTGAATGAATAGATAATATGTTTATAAAATTACTAATCCTGTTAAAGATTGATATTTTGAGTGTTATTTCTGTTTTAGGAACTTATGATAATTCAACTTTAAACTGGTTGGGTTTTCTCTCTGGCAATAAAACACTTCTAGCAAATAACTTTTTAAATGGCTATTGAATTAACTTAATTGTGGTTTGTTTGACTTCCTTTTGAACACTTTTAAATCCAAAACCAGATACTCATCACTTGTCAGAGTTAATGACTTTAATAATTGGTTTTGATTTGATTTTTTTGAAGGAATTTAAGAGCTGTTTTTTGAAACAAATCAGTATATTGCCTTTCATAAGCTAATCAAATCATTTTGAAATGAAGGAAGTTCCTGAATACAGTTTTTTTTTTTTTAAAGCCCAATTACAGCTTTCATTAGCTGTGCTTTGATAGCTTACCTTGCTTACCTAGCTCATTAATTTTAAATTTTGAGGTAACCTTTTATGCAATGGGCCTATTGACCAACGAAATTTACAATTTTGTAACTCAAGTTCTTTAAAATCTTAGTGTTTAGAGTCAATTTTTGTTAATTTTGTTAGTCAAAAATTTTGTGTAGTTGTCCTTGAAAGATTGGATACTTCAAAGTTATTTAGGAAGCGTCTCTTGTTTCTTAATATTTCTAAGTGAATTTGTCTTTTTTTCATTTCAGTGCGTGAAGGTTGCCATAAAGGACAAACAAGTGAAATACTTTATACATTACAGTGGTTGGAATAAAAAGTGAGTATTAGATTTTTAAAAGCAATTTTTGTGATGTCTTAATGTAATATAGTATGTTTTGAAGCAAGGGTAAGCCATTTGTAATATGAAGAAACTATTAGAAATGAGAGTTACTAGGCCTTTCATTTCATTTGTTTATTTGCAGTACTGGAGGATTAAACCCAGGAACATGCTAGTTCTGACCTACATCCCAGCCCTTTTTGTTTTGAGACAGGGTCTTGATAAATGTCAAGGCTGGCCTTGACCTTGATCATCCTCCCATCTTAGCCTCATTAGCTGAGATTATAGGTGTGCACTGGTAACCATTTTATTTTATAATGTATGTGAGTTTTGGAAGAATGTCTTAGATTCTAGTGTGGTGTCAAATAGTGGTTGAATGATGAGTGGAAGCAGCCCATTTTTTTTACAGTTTGGTACATTTTGGGGTACCTTTTTTGGCCTTAGCATCAACCCAATGACTATATGTATATTTCAAGCAGTTAGACTCCGAACTAGTTGGGTTTTTCTGTGTGAAAAAGGAAATAGTATAAAAGTTGGTTTGAAAATGTGACAGAATTGATCAACCCATTTTTGTGAGGTTTAGAAATATCGTGAGGCCCACAAATAATTTCATCTTAATAAATTTATTTGGGCCTTTTGTAATTTTTACTATGAGAGGTTTTTAATTACTTTTATTAATGATGTTCTTTGCTTCAAAAATAACATAACTAACCAGGAACTAGTTATTTAGGAATTGTTTCTAGTAACTTAATGCTTTGCGTCATCTGACCCAGGCATGGTGCTGTTGCTTTGGAAAATTTCTACTGAATTTATTGGCACATTGACTTTGATCTTTTATACAGTCTTCTCTCCAGGTGACCAACCCAGCACCCTTCCCCACCACAAAGCTATACCTGTTGCTTATTTAAATTTTTATGTTGTTTATTTTTTTAAAAAGCATGGAATATGGGCAGGGATTGTGGCTCAGCAGTAGAGCACTCGTGTAGCGCGGGTGGGACCCAGGTTCGATCCTCAGCACCACATAAAAATAAAGGCATTGTGTTGTGTCCATCCACACCTAAAATAAATAAATAAATATTTTTTAAAAAACATGGAATGCTTCACAAATTTGTGTATCATTCTTGGGCAGGGGTCATGTTAACTTCCTATATTCTAGTTTTTTTTAGTATATGTGCTGCAGGAGCAAACACTTAAATATTTTGAAATGGAGTCTTCCTAAGTTGCTGAGGCTGATGTTGACTTTTGGGTTCTCTTGCCTCAGCCTCCTGAGTCACTGGAATCATAGGCATGTATCACTGTGCCCAGCTAAATTTATTTCATTAAGAAAAATTTTTTATATGTTAAATATTCTTTGTTAACATATTAGACCTTTAACTTCCATTGGTACAGCTGTGGAAAGGTAGAAATCTAATATGCATGAATGTACGTTCTGATAACTTTTTGAGTTTTCTTTTTTTAAATGAGAATGTGTGTTTTATTTTAGTGGAATATGATTTACATACATTAATGCGCAAATTACACATGTAACCTACTGTATTAAATGAGAAAGTTTTAGTTAGCATAGAAAATTCTCTCATGGTAATGATAAAGAGCTTCTAATAATAAGTAGGCAATATTATTACTTGAGTGATCTTATTGACTTTTTATTTAAAATACTGAGAAATTAGGAAAATAATGGAGAAAACTGTCTTTTGGTGTTTTAGAATGTAAACTGATTTTAAATTGATTGATATGCAGAAACAGAAAAATTCATCTTAATCCTGGTGTATCATAGCTTTCTCTCCATTAAAAAAAAATGAAGTGTTAAAAATGCATTTTAGTTTTCAGTTACATATTTTGCTATTCTACTGATACTCAGTTAAATTGAGTATTCCCATTCTCTGTGGGAAAGAAAATATGCGTATTGTGAGTGCGGGAAAGTTCAAAGTCCATTCAAGAAATCAAAAGCAAAGCAAATTTATGGGTAGACCTACTTTTCCCTACCTCAGCTTTTTTTTTTTTTTTTCTTGTTTTAGTTGTAGGTAGACATAATACCTTTATTTTACTTATTTTTTTTATGTGGTGCTGAAGGTCAAACCCAGTGCCTCACATGTGCTATACAAGCACTTGACCACTGAGCCACAAACCCAGCACAACTTCTTGCACTTTTTAAAAAAAAAAAAAAATTATTTTCTTAGTTTTAGGTGGACACAATATCTTTATTTTACTTTTATGTGGTGCTGAGGATTGAACCCAGTGTCTTATGTATGCCAGGCGAGCACTCTACCACTGAGCCACAACCCCAGTGCCCAACCTCTCTCACTTTTAAAGAACTGTTTAGGATTTGACTTTAATAGCTGTGAATGATTTTTGTGGTTGACTCTTTTTCATATATAATATACAATAAAGTATATATAAAATAAAGTATTCTGTATAAAATTACACATAGATGTGTATAGTTCAATGACTGGATTTTAAGTGGCTTTTGTACTTCCTCAGAGATCGTGAAAATACCAAATACTTGTATTTCCTGACTTCACTGTTTAAAAAAACAATCATTTTTCCCATTTGATGGATTATAGTCCAGAAATAAATGAATGGTTGGTTTCTGTAGATGTTCCCCCCCCCCCCACTTCAGGAAATTTAAAGAAATGTCATTATATGTCAGTTTTTTTGTTGTTATTGGTTTTTTCTTTCTTTTTAGTTATACATGACAGTAGAATGTATTTTGACATCATACGTGGAGCATAACTTCCCATTTTTGAGTTGTACATGATATGGAGTTACACTGGTTGTGTATTCATATGTGAACACAGGAAAATTATGTCTGATTCATTCTACTGTTCTCCCATTTCCATCACTTCTCCCTCGATCCCACTCCCCGAAATAGATATTAGGCTTTTTTTCTCCTTGTCTCCATAGGTCTATTGAAGATATAATGTATTGGAGATGTATTTTTTGTGGTTGAATTTGGTATATAAACATAATTTTGAAAAAAAAAAATTGATCTTTAGGAAGAAGGTGGAAACTCTTAAATCCACTTTGAAAGGTGGAGTTAATCAAATGCCCAGCAGTATGTTGTTTTTTTAATACTTTTTATATTCTGCTCATGAATTGTGGCTTTGAGAATTAGTCACAAGCTACCTTAGAAAATTCTGAGATTCTTTTATGCTTGACCTAAAAAATTTTTGTGTGTGTTTGGCCTCCATTTTGTTATTCTTGTGAAGGTACTCCTCAGAGCAGAGGATGTTGTCCATTTCATTTTCCTTGATTTTGGCAAGGATTTTCAGCTCTTAACCTATAAAGGGAACTAGTATGACTTGGCTTTTACATCAAGGTGTGTTCACTGCATACATTTTGGGGGAAGCGATTTGTAAGTCTCTAAAGTGTATGTCAAATAACAATTAGCTCCCTTTGATTTATGGAGAATTGAAATAGATGTAAATGTATACTTTTAAAAAAAGATTTTTCATTTTAAAATGGTTTGTAGACTCTCTTAAAAAATAATTCCACAAAACTTCAATCCCCAAATTGAAATTTTCTTAAATTTTAGTTTATGTATACTTTCACAAGCACAATAGATTACTAAGATATATCTAAATTTTCAAAAATCTTATTGGAATTTGTTGACACAGACATTTAAATATTCCATTTGTAAATGAATCTTACTTAATAAAGCTTAAGCTAAATTCTGCACCTAGTTACTGAGATTACTTTGTACTATGCTATCTGTATCAGAAGTGCTGTGAGGCCCAGGCGCTCTGAAAAAACTTTGAAGACACGTGAGGATATTGTAGCCCTTTTTCCTGTTCCTGAAGGAGCTCCCTCAGTACACCACCCCCTCCTGACCTCTAGGTAAATGCATGTTTTAAAGTTTTCTCTAGGAATGGTGTTGAGGATTGCTTTTTATTTATTTTTCCTTTGGCTATATTCTATAAGAGGTCAGAGGTGGGAAATTGTTAAAGATATTGCTTTGAGAACACACCTAATTGTGTCACTAAAGGAGCTCCATCAGCAGGAGAAAAGGCTCACTTTGTTCAAAAAGTTCATCATTCCCTAAGAAATATTGTCCTTAAATGAACACCAGCAGAAGTGCCAGAATGCCTTGTCAACATTATAATAGAGTGATTCTGTTCTACCTTTTAGTGTTCAAAAAAAGTCCTCTGGTCAGCCTTGGAAATTTGTGTATTCATATGTGAGTGAATGAAAATAGAGTGGTATAATCTGGTAAATCATAGTAATACTTTAATGTACAAACTTACTTGAGTAATCTAGATGGTGAGTGTTGGTAGAGTTTCTAATGTGTTTCTGACATACTGTGTTTGGTTTCTTGTCAGGGATACTGAAGTATTTTGCATGCATTGTCATAATAACCCTATGAGATATAGGTACTTAATATCTAATTATCCCCCATTTTACAGGTGGTGAAAATAAGTCAGAGAGCTTGTAATTTAGTTATTACACATAAGTAGGGTTTTTTGTTTGTTTCTTTGTTTAGGTCAATTTATTATGAACTTTTTGTGTGTGTGTGCTAGGGATTGAATACAGGGCTTTGTGCATGGTAGACAAGCACTCTACTAACTGAGCTGTATCCCCAGCCCCTATTATGAACTCTGTTTCATCTTTGGCAGTTGAAAAATTTTAAGATATTTTCGTCCCATAGGCTAATTGCTTAGACAGTCTTTAGCTATTTCTAAAACTGATTTGAATAATCTTTTAAATTCTGGCAGTTTAAATTTGGAATGCTGCTTCTCAGAATATGAAGTTTTCCTTCTTTACAAGACAACTTTAAATAGATTTTCATTTTAGTTGAGAATGGATTTGTAGTACCATATCCCATTATTTCAGAAATCCAAGGACTTGCCTCTTGGATCTTTAAAAATTAATTGGAGGATAGAGTCTGAATCATCATGAAAATGTTTTTGAATAATATTTTTATTCCTTTTCAGTTGGGATGAATGGGTTCCAGAGAGCAGAGTGCTCAAGTACGTGGACACCAATCTGCAGAAACAGCGAGAACTCCAAAAAGCCAATCAGTAAGTTTGTTTTGAGAAATGAATATAGAAGTGAAATGTCTGTAAATTAGATTTGGGACAAAGAATGAGCAATGGGAATCAATGTTGGCTGCCTGCCTGCCTATAAAATGATTATTGGTACGTGTCAGTGGTTGTGTTATGCCTTTGACTTCAAGTAATCAGATAAGCCTTTTCTAGGTAAAGGAAATAGCAACCTATCATTGTTTGCATCTGTCTTTAGAGGTTGGTTGAAAACATAGCTGCATGTAGTTGGGAATTGCTATAGGTATAAACTCATTGTTAAAACTACAGTAAGACTACTGTCTTACCTCTTGAGCTCTGTGGAAGGCACAGTTGGTGGGGGAAACGAGGTATTCCTGTTAATACACATCTCTGGGAACAGGGCAGAAGGGACTCTTTCAGACTATGTGTGTATGGTCTGTAAGATAATTGTTCTCATTTACATTTTCTTTTTAAATTTTTATTGTTGGTTGTTCAAAACATTACATAGTTCTTGGTATATCATATTTCACACTTTGATTCAAGTGGGTTATGAACTCCCATTTTTACCCCTTATACAGATTGCAGAATCACATCAGTTACACATCCATTGATTTACATATTGCCATACTAGTGTCTGTTGTATTCTGCTGCCTTTCCTATCCTCTACTATCCCCCCTCCCCTCCCCTCTTCTCTCTCTACCCCATCTACTGTAATTCATTTCTCCCCCTTGTTTTTTTTTCCCTTTCCCCTCACTTCCTCTTGTATGTAATTTTGTATAACCCTGAGGGTCTCCTTCCATTTCCATGCAATTTCCCTTCTCTCTCCCTTTCTCTCCCACCTCTCATCCCTGTTTAATGTTAATCTTCTTCTCATGCTCTTCTTCCCTACTCTGTTCTTAGTTACTCTCCTTATATCAAAGAAGACATTTGGCATTTGTTTTTTAGGGATTGGCTAGCTTCACTTAGCCTAATCTGCTCTAATGCCATCCATTTCCCTGCAAATTCTATGATTTTGTCATTTTTTAATGCAGAGTAATACTCCATTGTGTATAAATGCCACATTTTTTTTATCCATTCGTCTATTGAAGGGCATCTAGGTTGGTTCCACAGTCTTGCTATTGTGAATTGTGCTGCTATGAACATCGATGTAGCAGTGTCCCTGTAGCATGCTCTTTTTAGGTCTTTAGGGAATAGACCGAGAAGGGGAATAGCTGGGTCAAATGGTGGTTCCATTCCCAGCTTTCCAAGAAATCTCCATACTGCTTTCCAAATTGGCTGCACCAATTTACAGTCCCACCAGCAATGTACAAGTGTACCCTTTTCCCCACATCCTCGCCAGCAGTTGTTGTTGTTTGACTTCATAATGGCTGCCAATCTTACTGGAGTGAGATGGTATCTTAGGATGGTTTTGATTTGCATTTCTCTGACTGCTAGAGATGGTGAGCATTTTTTCATGTACTTGTTGATTGATTGTATGTCCTCCTCTGAGAAGAGTCTGTTCAGAGTCTAATAGACCACCATACAATAATCATGGGAGACTTCAACACACCTTTCTCACCACTGGACAGATCTTCCAAACAAAAGTTGAATAAGGAAACTAGAACTCAATAACACAATTAATAACCTAGACTTAATTGACATATATAGAATATACCACCCAACATCAAGCAGTTACACTTTTTTCTCAGCAGCACATGGATCCTTCTCAAAAATAGATGATATATTATGTCACAGGGCACCTCTTAGACAATATAAAGGAGTAGAGATAATACCATGCATCTTATCTGATCATAATGGAATGAAACTGAAAATCAACGATAAAAGAAGGAAGGAAAAATCATGCATCACTTGGAGAATGAACAATAGGTTACTGAATGATCAATGGGTTATAGAAGACATCAAGGAGGAAATTAAAAAATTCTTAGAGATAAATGAAAACACAGACACAACATATCGGAATCTGTGGGACACATTGAAAGCAGTTCTAAGAGGAAAATTCATTGCTTGGAGTTCATTCCTTTAAAAAAGAAAAAACTAACATAAATGATCTCATACTTCATCTCAAAATCCTAGAAAAAGAAGAGCAAAACAACAGCAAAAGAAGTAGAAGGCAAGAAATAATTAAAATCAGAACTGAAATTAATGAAATCGAAACAAAAGAAACAATTGAAAAAATTGACAAAACTAAAAGTTGGTTCTTTGAAAAAATAAATAAAATCTACAGACCCTTAGCCATGCTAACAAAGAGAAGAGAGAGAACTCAAATTACTAGCATACGGGATGAAAAAGGCAATATCACAACAGACACTTCAGAAATACAGAAGATAATCAGAAATTATTTTGAATCCTTTTACTCCAATAAAATAGAAGATAGTGAAGGCATCGATAAATTTCTTAAGTCATATGATCTGCCCAGATTGAGTCAGGAGGATATAGACAACCTAAACAGACCAATATCAATTGAGGAAATAGAAGAAACCATCAAAAGACTACCAACTAAGAAAAGCCCAGGACCGGATGGGTATACAGCAGAGTTTTACAAAACCTTTAAAGAGGAACTAATACCAATACTTTTCAAGCTATTTCAGGAAATAGAAAAAGAGGGAGAACTTCCAAATTCATTCTACGAGGCTAACATCACCCTGATTCCTAAACCAGACAAAGACACTTCAAAGAAAACTACAGACCAATATCTCTAATGAACCTAGATGCAAAAATCCTCAATAAAATTCTGGCGAGTCGGATACAAAAACATATCAACAAAATTGTGCACCATGATCAAGTAGGATTCATCCCTGGGATGCAAGGCTGGTTCAATATACGGAAATCAATAAATGTTATTCACCACATCAATAGACTTAAAAACAAGAACCATATGATCATCTCGATAGATGCGGAAAAAGCATTCGACAAAGTACAGCATCCCTTTATGTTCAAAACTCTAGAAAAACTAGGGATAACAGGAACATACCTGAATATTGTAAAAGCAATCTATGCTAAGCGTCAGGCTAGCATCATTCTGAATGGAGAAAAATTGAAGGCATTCCCTCTAAAATCTGGAACAAGACAGGGATGCCCTCTCTCACCACTTCTGTTCAACATAGTTCTTGAAACACTGGCCAGAGCAATTAGACAGACAAAAGAAATTAAAGGCATAAAAATAGGAAAAGAAGAACTTAAATTATCACTATTTGCAGATGACATGATTCTATACCTAGCAGACACAAAAGGGTCTACAAAGAAACTACTAGAGCTAATAAATGAATTCAGCAAAGTGGCAGGATATAAAATTAACACGCATAAATCAAAGGCATTCCTGTATATCAGGGACAAAGCCTCTGAAATGGAAATGAGGACAACCACTCCATTCACAATATCCTCAAAAAAAAAATAAAATACTTGGGAATCAACCTAACAAAAGAGGTGAAAGACTTATACAATGAAAACTACAGAACCCTAAAGAGAGAATTAGAAGAAGATCTTAGAAGATGGAAAATTATACCCTGTTCATGGATAGGCAGAACTAACATCATCAAAATGGCGATATTACCAAAAGTTCTCTATAGGTTTAATGCAATGCCAATCAAAATCCCAACGGCATTTCTTGTAGAAATAGAGAAAGCAATCATGAAATTCATATGGAAAAATAAAAGACCCAGAATAGCAAAAACAATGCTAAGCAGGAAGTGTGAATCAGGCGGTATAGCGATACCAGACTTCAAACTATACTACAGAGCAATAGTAACAAAAACAGCATGGTACTGGTACCAAAACAGGCGGGTGGACCAATGGTACAGAATAGAGGACACAGAAACCAATCCACAAAACTACAACTATCTTATATTTGATAAAGGGGCTAAAAGCATGCAATGGAGGAAGGATAGCATCTTCAACAAACGGTGCTGGGAAAACTGGAAATCCATATGCAACAAAATGAAACTGAATCCCTTTCTCTTGCCATGCACAAAAGTTAACTCAAAATGGATCAAGGAGCTTGATATCAAATCAGAGACACGCCGTCTGATAGAAGAAAAAGTTGGCTACGATCTACATACTGTGGGGTCGGGCTCCAAATTCCTCAATAGGACACCCATAGCACAAGAGTTAATAACTAGAATCAACAAATGGGACTTACTCAAACTAAAAAGTTTTTTCTCAGCAAAAGAAACAATAAGAGAGGTAAATAGGGAGCCTACATCCTGGGAACAAATCTTTACTCCTCACACTTCAGATAGAGCCCTAATATCCAGAGTATACAAAGAACTCAAAAAATTAGACAATAAGATAACAAATAACCCAATCATTTACATTTTTTTTAAAGAGAAAATTAAAAGAATTTTTTTTTTTTTAGTTTTCTGTGGACCAACATCTTTATTTTTTATTTGTATGTAGTGCTGAGGATTGAACCCAGCGCCCCCGCGCATGCCAGGCCAGTGTGCTACCGCTTGAGCCACATCCCCAGCCCTCATTTACTTTTTTTTTTTTTTTAATTTTTTTTTTAGTTGTAGATGAACACAATATCTTTATTTTTATTTATGTGATGCTGAGGATCGAACCCGGAGCCTCATACGTATAAGGCAAGTGCTCTACCACTGAGCTACAACCCCAGCCCCCTCATTTACTTTTAAAGCTGAAGTGTGTACTAAAAATATTGGAATCAAATTAAAAGAAAACATTGGAATTAAAACAGAAATGGAATTTTTCTTTCAGTTACATGAGACACCTATTATGGTCACTCTTTTATTACATTGATTTTAATTTTGGTAGATATGGAAGAGCCAAATATTAGGCCTTTCACTCTTTCCTGAATTTTGATTTTTGTAAATATATTGTCATTTGTTTAACTTGTTAAAAACTTGGTTCCAGAAGTGTATAAGCTTGGGAACCTTGATTTGAATATAAATTCTAGATTGACATTAAGCTGGCACAATTCATTTTTTTTACATAAATACTTATTTTTTTAATGTTTATTTTTTAGTTGTAGTTGAACTAAAACTATTTCATTTATTTATTCTTATGTGGTGCTGAGGATTAAACCCAGGGCCTCGCACGTGCTGGGTGAGCGCTCTATTGCTGAGCTACAACCCTAGCACCGCCCCCTTTTTTCAAGTGTATAATCTAAATTTTATTATAATGTTGATCCCAGATGTGCACCCTTTCAAACAGTAACAAATGAACCAGCAACAACATACATGGAGAAATCCTTGCAACTAAACACAATGTCTTAATGTCTGGGACTCTGGGCATGCTGCCCACAGGCTGGAGGAGACATCTTCAGGTTTAAGGCAAGGGGAAACCTACAAAAGGCACAACCACTGGCTACCCCTGGAAGAACGTCTTAGTTATTTTCTTATTTTTATGATGGTACTTATTATTTTTATGATGATCCTAATTGTAATTATTTTTGAAGGGAGCAGTATGCAGAGGGGAAGATGAGAGGGGCTGCTCCAGGAAAGAAGACATCTGGTCTGCAACAGAAAAATGTTGAAGTGTAAGAAGCTCTTTGTTTTAATTTTGCATACTGTTTTATAATTCAAACTTAATGCTCACTATGTGTTAGACTTTATTGAAAGTGGAAACTTTTTGGCCAGGTATGGTTAACTCACATTTGTAATCCAGCTATTAGAAGGTTGAGATAGGAGGATTGCAAGTTTGAGGCCAGTCTAGGCAACTTGGTGAGACTTGTCTCAAAAAGTAAAAAGGGCAGGGGGTGTGGCTTAGTGGTAGAGTACCATGGAAAAACAAGTCATTTTAGTGAATGGTCATGCACTCTGCCCCCCCCCCCCCCGTAAGGGTTGTTTTTTTTTTTTAAACAAAAAAGTTGTTGATGGTGTGTATATGGTGTTGTATATGCTGTGGTGAGAATCACAGTGCCTCACACATCTCGTGAGGTAAGCCTTTACCACTGAGCTACACCCCCAGCCCCTCATGCACTTCTTGTTAAAGGAAAAAAAACACTTTGAAGTGTGATTTATCTGAAGAATTTACTTTTCTTTGAAACCAGAGAAATCTTTACTTATGGTTTTAGAGTTAACAATCTTTTTTACTAAAGTCTTAAGTGTTAGTGATAAAAGGTAATTATACATTTTGAGGGCCAGTAGTTTTAGTATTTTATTGTGAGAATATAATTAGTTTGGCAAGGATTAGATGTTATTTTTCCAGGGTGATTCATATAAATATTCTATGTTCTGGTTCTTTGGAAAGTGACTGTGTAGTAGTATTCATTAGAATTTGATTAGCAGTTGAGTTCTTAAAAGGCATTCATTTTCTTTTTTTAAATAAAAATGGAGTTTTATCAGTAAGTAAAACTTTGGTTTATAATTAATTCTTTATCACTGTGCTAAAAGTTGGTATAGAAATCAAAGTGGCAGTGTGCCTAAGATGGGTTTTTTTTTTTTTTTGTATTTGAGTATAAAGTGTTATGAATGACTGAGTAACTACATGAGGTAACATTTTTAAATTGAAAGTTCTCATCCTTGAAAAATGGAAACCTTGACAGTTGTCTACTGGATCTTTTAACTACTGAAGCAGGAGGATCCCAAGTTCGAGGTTAGCCTGCGTAAACTTAGCAAGACTCTTAGCCTTAAAAAGTTTTAAAAACGGAGCGGGGCTTAAGGATGTAGCTCACTGCTAAAGGTAGTACCCTGTGCTTAATCCCCAGTGCCACCCCTCATCCAGGAAAAAAAAGCAATTAAATATGTTGGGGATTTTAAGGGTTATTATTATTTTAAGGATTCTTATTTTGCTTTGAGGTTTTAATATGACTTTCGTGTCCAGTTTAGTGCTAGTGCATCTTCAGTTTTTGGTAACTGTATATAGTTTTCTCTGAATACATATTAATGCTTCTGGCTATTATAATAAGATACTTGGAGAATCAGATTTACATTCACTACTTTAGAAGTCTAGGTTTTTCATGTTTGGGTGCATGTTTCTCAATAGGGAATGTGAATTTTGTTGGCATTTAGGGTTAATGTAGTAGCCTGTGCTTTGGTGATTCATTATTTAGTGAGTCAAGAACTTAAACAAAATAGAATCTAGCGGTTTCTGTTTTGATGATATAAATCAAATATCAGCAATTTATTGTATGAAACATTGCACATTTTGAGACACAGTTTAGTTTGCATGCTTCATTAATAAAATGAGCAAGAATGTTGAAGCAGTATTACATAGATAGCCCTTACTACTAGGATTCATTGAAGTATGGTTTAATCTTCAGAGTTGAGATCAGTTGTGTCAATATTTTTAATTTTATAGAGTGAATAAAGATTTAATGTAAAGTCTCTTGGTTTCTCTTTGTCTTCAACTATTAGCATGTATAAGTAAATTTTATGTTTTATCTTGACTCAAATACTGTCCCCATAATATTGTATTACAAACGTTAACTTTTCAGAGGCAGGGAAAAGCCTATACTTCAGATTTTTTTTTTTTTAATAACCAAACGTAAGTTAATTTGATTTCTGGCAGGGGGATAACCCCAAGACTTACAGAACAGTAAAACAAGATTCAGGTGTTTCGATAAGATCCAACTAGAAGTAATGTATAATTGTAGATTATATTTGTCAATGGTTTTCTTTGTGTTTTGGAAATAGTTATGCAAAGAGACAAAACTTTTATAATTTGGCAGATATAAATAGACTCAAGTTATGTTGCTATTATAGATAGAGATACATCAGCTTTAGGAGAAAAGTATAGTATTGAAAATGAGGGAATATAGTTTTAGGGGAAAAAAGTAAAAGTTTAGATCACTGGACTAACATGATTGGTGTTTAAGGAAATGTACAAATCTAAAATCAAAAATTAGTGTTTTGGAAAGGAAAACGAAAATAATTAAAGTATTATGGCTTTTAAAACTCCTTTTTTTGGTGGAACTAATAAAAAGTATGTCTCCTAAAGGATTCTTGGTTATTTTTTCCATTTTGTGGAGGAAGATGAGAATTTAAACATCAATAAAAATACTTGTGTTTGAGCCCCAAACTATGATTTAAGTACCTCATCCATAAAGACAGTATTTTTTTGTGAATTTAATCACAGTAAAGGGGAAATCAAATAGTTTACTAGAAATAACTTTGTTTTTCCTTTTCCCCCCTCCTTTTAGGAAAACCAAAAAGAACAAACAGAAAAGTAAGAATATTAACTTTCTTTAAATTAACCTATTTTGTCTTTATAGCATATGTATTTTAAATTCACTATTTTAAAAACTGACATTTTGAAATAAGCTTAATAGATCTATTAATGGTCTCAATCAAATATGAATCTCCCCGGTAATGTTATAAATAGAAATGTACACAGTGGTAGAGGCCTAACTGATCTTTTTCTTTTTTTTTTTAACCGTGAAGAAACTAGTAAGGATTTCATTATTTTCATCTGCTTTAGTCTCATGTTTTTAACCAATGGAAGACGGTGATATTATTAAGTATAGCCTGTACTAAATGTTTGGTAGAGATATTCATAAAAGTTGTTTCACGTAGAATTATGATTCTTAGATTCAAATAACCATGTGATGGAGAAATAATGAAGGCATGTTAAGAATTTGTTTTCTATAGAGTTTCTTATTTTATTTGCTTACCTCTCACCTGCAACCCCCCCCCCCCCCCCCCCCGCCAATCCCACCCCTTTTGTAGCACCTGGAAATGGAGATGGTGGCAGTACCAGTGAGACACCTCAGCCTCCTCGGAAGAAAAGGGCCCGGGTAGATCCTACTGTTGAAAATGTAAGATTTTAAGTTTTTTAATAGCCTGTTAGATTTCTAGTCTAAGTCATGTTATGTCAAAACAAGAAGCAATCATAGAACTTTGGTTCCCCAAAGCATTGCTAACATGCTTAACTAATGAAATTTCCTATTTTGGGGTAAAGGATATATTTGTATGTATCTTTGTTTCCATGTGTAGCTCTAGATTATCCCTGCCTTCAATTTGTCATCAGTGTTTAAGACTATGTCTTTGTGTTAGATTGGGTAGACCTACGGGGTCACAATAGATGGTTTATTAAATTTCAGCATGGTTTAATAAAACCGTGGCAAATACTATGAAATCCTATGAGTTTCACATATGTGTACATGAATATAATAGTTTTAGGATTCCTACTTAAGTAGTATACTAATGTGTTTTATTGTTATATATAATATGGAAAGTTAGTGAATTTGTTAATAAGAGTTCTAATTGACATTACTGAAGTTGAAGTTTCTAAGTAACAATAGTTATTAACTTATAACTTACAAACATTGGTATGTTCTGAAAATAAGTACTTTGGGACAGATTTTGAAGACAACTTTTATGAATTAATGATGTTCCTTTATAGTTGTATTGGGGTGCTCATGTGAACATTAGCAATGAATGGAAAAACTAAGCCAAAATGTTCCATTTCCAAAAGAGGAAATTCACCAAGAATTTTTACCTTAACATAAACATGCACTAAAAAGTCTTTAAGAGTTGTTGTTAAGCAAAGAAAGGTTTTATGTTTATTTTCTCTGTTTTTTTTACTAGGAAGAAACATTTATGAACAGAGTTGAAGTTAAAGTAAAGATTCCTGAAGAGCTAAAACCATGGCTTGTTGATGACTGGGACTTAATTACCAGACAGAAACAGGTAAGTTGAAAACTAGACAGATTATAAGCTCTGTGCTATGTGGTTGTGAGCACAAAGAAGATGACACTTGAATTTTGAAGCATGACTGATAAATAATATTTTATTTGAGAGACTGAAAATTACTTCAGAAAAAAAAGCACTTGGAGCGGAATAAAATATGTAATTATTTTATGACAATTTTAAAGAATGTTGGATATAGCTGATATTTGGAGGTTGCTGGGGCTGGAATTTATCCAGAAAATTAAGAGAATCCTTTTTTATTGGTCTGTCATTGGAAAATGAAAGATCTGCACATATCTATCTCTACACATAGCATTCTCTGCAGAAGAACCTGAATCTCATTTAGGTTCTAGGACTCATTTTCTACTTTATATGATGGGACTGTTGAGTAGAGAGGGACACGTTAAACCCCACAATAGTTACTTAAATGCAGAATGAGAACACATTAAATGATTTCTTTAAACAGACAAATGGTGTAGGTAGGGCTGGAGGTTATGGATGACTGATGATTGTGAGACTCAAGAGACTATAGGTCTTGGTCTGAATTCTGATTTGTTGGGAGGATTATACAGCTGCAGCTAAGCTGTCAAAATTTAAGCTATGGCTCTCCTACTTAATAGCCATGGCCTCAGACAAGCTCCTTGGTCATTTTGTGCCTTAATTTTTAATACATTTAGTGGAATAATAGTCCCTACCTCATAGTATTGATAACGAGGACAAGAAAGGCAGTTCTGTTACTGCTTCAGAGTGAGTCTAGCACATAAGATGCTAACAGTAAATAATGCCTTGATAATATCATTGAAATGTGTATTCTATATGTAGAGATTATATGTATGACCAGCAGATTGTCAGTTTTAGTTAGAGTTGTATCTTCAGGGGCTTGGGATATAGCTCAGTTGATAGTTGGCTTGCCTACCTTGCACAAGGCCCTGGGTTCAATCCCCAGCACCACCACCACCCCCCCCAAAAAAAAAAAAAAAAAAAAAACAAAGCTGTATCATCAGTATGATGGTCACTAGCTTATTTAATTGGAGCTAAATATAATTAAGATTGTAGTTCTTAGCAATGTTATCCATGTTTCAAGGGCTGAATAATAATGCCTTCTCCTATTTTGAAACTTTTGTTGCATACAAGCTTACCAGTATGATTTTTCACAGAAAAAGAATATTTGTATTTATGTAGATTTTTGTTGTTTGCATAGCTCTTTTATCTTCCTGCGAAGAAGAATGTGGATTCTATTCTTGAGGATTATGCAAATTACAAGAAATCTCGAGGAAACACAGATAATAAGTAAGAATTAACCCCTTTAATACACTCAGAGAATCTTTCTTAAGTATTTTTATTCCCAAATAATCTCTGAAGTTATGTTTTTGGAATATTAGTACCATCATTAGAATTTCACTGGTTTGATTCAGGGGCTGGCAAACTTTTCCTAAAGGCTCAAATAGTGAATATTTTAGGTAAAATTGAAGTAGTTGTATAGGTACTTATGGAATCATTTAAAATTTAACCATTTGAAAGTATAAAAATCCTCTTATTTTGAGGGCCAAACTTGGCTTCAGCATATTTCTGAAACTTTTTATGTATCCTTGTTAAATTTTTTATTAAAAAAAAAAAATTTCAGCATTAGTTTGTTGTCACTACTAGTTTGACCTTGAATTCCTTACTCTTGTGTTAGTTGGATTAATTTCTTTTTCAGTTTTCGGTGACCAGTTGTGGAAATAAATGGCTTTTGTTCATTTTCAGGGAGTATGCTGTTAATGAAGTTGTGGCAGGAATAAAAGAATACTTCAATGTAATGCTGGGCACTCAACTGCTCTACAAATTTGAGAGACCTCAGTATGCTGAAATCCTTGCAGATCATCCTGATGCACCCATGTCCCAGGTGTATGGAGCGCCACATCTACTGAGATTATTTGGTAATATACCTTTTGGAAAATGTGATTTTATTTATTAGCTTTTAATAATTTTTTTGTGTTCCCTAAATGAGTGAGGGGTAAAATCATTAACATTCTAAACCCTGACTACAGGGGTTAGGGGTATAGCTGAGTGGTACATTGCTTGCCTACCATGCAGGAGACCCTGGGTTTAATGCCCAGCACCACAAAAATGGGAGGGACAAATCCGCACAGCTTCATTGCAATTTGAACTCTTGTCTAAAAGTTAAATAGCAAAACTTGTTTTAAAATCATGTAATTTTCAAACTTTGATGGTTGTATTTGCTCACATAGTTGAACTGGGATGATGTTGCTGCTTTATATGTAACTTTGCTAAATTCTTTTGTTTCTGTAGTACGAATTGGAGCAATGTTGGCCTATACACCTCTGGATGAGAAGAGCCTTGCTTTATTACTGAATTATCTTCATGATTTCCTCAAGTAAGTTTAAGTATGGTTGAAATTAGACGCAAGAATTGGTGTGATATACTAAAAATTGATGAGATAGGAGAGATTGATACTAATTGCTAAAACAATGTAGAATAGGTATTTAATGGAACAAATGATAGAGTTGGCATATAGGTGCTTAAATCTCAAACCTATTAAGATAATAAAAAATGTAGAGTAATATTTTCATATTCTGGTACTGTTGTGTTTAAAAGAATTACCTTTAATTCATAAAGAAGACATGTTTTCTTTATTCAATAAAAGGATGAACAAACCAATGAAAAGTATGTCACAGGAGATTTATAGAAATGGCAGTAGTAGAAGGGATCATTAAAGCATGTTCAGCAGTATAATAAAATAGAAATTGTTGATCAGTAAAGTACCTCTTGTTACAGGTGTTTCCCCATTTCTTCAATCTCAGTTTAAAAGATTGAAGAAATGGGTTGGGAATGTATCCCAGTTGGTAGAGTGCTTGCCTCACATCCATAAGGCCCTGGGTTCAATCCCCAGCACCACAAAAACAAAACAAAAGATTGAAGAAATGGAGAAAAGGGAAATACTGGTTGCTACATCTTTGGAAACAGCATTTTTTATAACGGTGAATTTTAAACAACCAAGCAGCTTTTAAATGATGAGGTTGTTCCAAATACTGGTAAGGAAAGATAGCAATGTTGTCAGTTGAAGAAAAATTAAATTTTTTAGTAGTAGTGAGGCATGGTTGGTAGTGGTGAGGCGTGGTATAATTCCCCTCATTTGGTGAGAAACATTTCAATTTTTGCAAAACATTTGATTTTCCATATATGAGTCATAGTTAATTATCTTGAGCCTACTGGTAGGAAAAGTTAGTATTTTTATTTTCTACTTTGAAAATTTCCATACTTGGATTTTTGCACAATAACCATGCATTTTATTTCAAAACAAAACAAAACTTTGTAATTACAACATGGACCTGGGGAATCTATGGCCTTTGTTCTGCCAAAGATCTTCTCTGGACCTTAAGTACTTACTTAATTTCATGGTTCTTGGGATCAAAAGCCAATGTGCCTCTCACATGCCAAGGAAGAGCTGTGTCACCTAGCTACACCCTCAACACTGTTTATTTTTTATTTTGAGACTTGGTCGTGTTAAGTTATATTCTCGAACCTGTGTTCCTCTTGCCTCAGCCTCCTGAACTGGGATTATAGGCATGTACCACCATGCCCAGCTTCAGTTTCCTTTGAAAGCAAAGATTTACTACCATTTGAAATTTCAGGTTCTTTTTTTGTGGTGTGAATTTTAAGTTTAAGCTTGATTTACTTGTACATTTCTGAGTCTATACTTAAAAGAGTTTTGAAGGACTGAAAGCAATATCTACAGTATTCTTTTTGGGTAATACTGCCATATAATAGGATAATAGCTGTTTCTTAAGAATTGTTCAAAGTTGATGAAGACAAAAATTCCTCTCCTTGTTTAGAAATGAGGAAGGGTACTTTATTCTTTATAGCTGTATGTTATATGATCTCTTGTAATGTGGTTTTTCTGTGAGGTAGTGATTATTATTTTTAGTAAAATGTTAATAGGCTTATGTATATTCCATGTTATGTAGGAAGAGATTTGTATCAAGATAAGATTTTTAAAAATTTGTTAACGAATAACATTTAATTTTTAGGTACCTGGCAAAGAATTCTGCAACTTTGTTTAGTGCCAGCGATTATGAAGTCGCCCCTCCTGAATACCATCGGAAAGCAGTGTGAGGAGGTGTACTTCATTCACTTGTGTTTGGATCTCTGTAAACACATTTTTGTTCTTAGTCCTTCTCTTGTACAAATGATGTACTTTGAAGATGTTAGTGTATAACAAAATTGATGTTTGTTTTCTGTTTGAATTTAAACAGAGAAAATAAAAGGGGTTACTGCTCCTTTTTTCCTTTCTTTCTTTTAATTTCATTTCAAAGTTGCTACCAGTGTATTCTATGATGGACAACAGAGAGACATGCTGTAGAGTGTTTGCCTAGTTGACAAAGCTGCTTTTGAATGCTGGTGGTTCTATTCCTTTGACACTACGCACTTTTATAATATGTGTTAATGCTATATGACAAAATGCTCTGAATCCTAGTGCCAAAGGTTCAATTCAGTGTATATAACTGAACACACTCATCCATTTGTGCTCCTTTTTTTTTTTTTTTAATGGTGCTTAAAGTAAAGAGCCCATCCTTCGCAAGTCATCCATGTTGTTCCTTAGGCATTATATCTTTGCTCAAATTGTTGAAGAATGGTGGCTTGTTTCATGGTTTTTGTATTTGTGTCTTATGCACGTTTTAACATGATAGACGCAATGCATTGTGTAGCTACAGTTTTCTGGAAAAGTCAAATCTTTTAGGAATTGTTTTTCAAATCTTCAATAAATTTTTTCTTTAAATTTCAAAAAGCAATGTACTTGTCTGGATTTGTTTCAAAAATCTTTTTTTGGGGGGGGGGGGAAAGGGACATTGCCTTCCTGGAGAGCAAAACCTTAAGAAATGAACATTTTGTATACTGTATATCTTTCTTGTGATAGGTAGTGATTTTTTTTTTTCCAGGTGGGTATTTTATTTTCTGGTTTGATCTTTATGGAATAAGAAGCTTAGCTTTGGCATCCCAAGCTAATCCATAGCAGCAGCATTGATATTTGTTGTCTTCAGAAAAGCTAGACGTTTACATGACAGTATCTCATTTTTCACAGATTGTTACCAGTTTTGAGCATTAAAGACATTTTTATCTATGTGACAGCTTGCTGTCACTACTTGTTTAAATTTAAGGTGTTTAATTTGGAAGTAAAAAGAGCAATATATAATATTAAAAATGGCAGATATTTTTCCCCTTTTGATATTAGATCTGAAGTGGTTTTGGATATAGGTTTGAGATGATACTTGTTACAAAGTATTGGAATGATAAGTTCAGAAGGCAAGAACTGTAGTAGCATACGAGGGAGTGGGGTTTGAGAAGGGAGGATAATAGAGAAAAACAATAAGAGGGCAGTGGAATTTGCTTTTGTTATTCCTAGCCATAGTTATTTTCCAGCCTTCTTAACTTTTCCCTTTTATCACAACTGTACTGATTAACAATTAGGGAATGTTTTTGCTTGGGAGCAAAGAATGTTGCTAATGTTAATCTTGATTCAACCATGATGGTCTTCATATATCTCTTTATTTTTAATTTGTGTTAATGTGTGCCTTAATTTAACAGACCAATTTCCTGTAAGAGCAACCCCTCAAACCTTTTTGGTTTCAGGATCTTTTTTTTTTAAATATGTTAAAAATGTTGCTGGTCATGGTGGCACTCACCTGTAATTACAGAGACTCAGGAGGTTAAGGTAAGAGAATTGCAAGTTTGAGGCCAACCTTGGGCAACTTGGGAAGGACTGGGGGATATAGCTCAGTGTTAAGTGTTCCTGTGTTCAGTCCCTATTACCAAAAAGTAAAAAAAAAATAAAAAAAAAAATAAAAAATTCTGAGGTTTCTAAAGAGTTCTTGGTTCATATGGATTTATATATATATATATATATATATATATATATATATATATATATATATATATATATATATATATATATAAAATATTTATTTATTTATTTATCATTTACCACCCCAGAAATTAAAACATTTAAAACATAAGATAAGGGCCTGGGGATATAGCTCAGTTGGTAGAGGGCGTGCCTCACATGCATAAGCCCCTGGGTTCAATCCCCAGCACCACCAAAAAATTAAAAAACAAATAAGAATACAGGTGCTAGGGTTGTAGCTCAGCAGTGTATAGCTCTTGGCTAGCAATTGTAAGGCACTAAGTTCAATCATCAGCACGACATAAAAATAAATAAAACAAATGTACTATGTCCATCTACAACTAAGAAATAAATTAATAAAAAAAGATTACAGACTTTCTTTAGCCATCTGAGTGGTAGTATCTGACCTGGAAAACTGTACATACATTATGGGAGAATCCAAATGATTTTAAATGGTTTTTCGCCTTACAGATACAGGATCCCTGGACTACCCTTTTGAGAACCAAAAGAAGTTTTAATATTTTTTATTCATGAAGCCCCAAGATCAGAATTTTCTTAATTCGTTAAGTATCTCTACCCCAATTTAAATATAGCTTTAGAATGGAGCACTAACATATTTGCCTGATAATAAAAAAGAAAATAATTGTAATTGTTGTAAAATGTCTTTTATTGTGTTTTATTAGTAATTCTTAATTTGGCTTCAGAATATCTTGTGTGGAAGCTGGTCCTGATAGCACATACCTGTACTCCCAGTGACTTGGGAGACTGAGGCAGGAGGATTGCAGGTTCAGAGCCAGCCTCAGTAACTCAGTGAAGCCCTAAGCAATTTAGCCGCCCCCCCCCCCCACCGCCAAAAAAAAAAAAAGGTCTGGGAATGAGGGTAAGTGCCCCTATGTTGAATGAATCCCTGTCCCCCACCACCACACATGCACCAAAAAAATTCACAAAACTGAGTGGTGGTAGTAGATTAGCTGGAATTATGTAGATGGGAATAATCCTGTGGTTGGGCATGGTGGCATACTCCTGTAATCCCGGTGGTTTGGGATTCAAAGCCAGTAAGATGCTAAGCAACTCTGAGAGACCTGGCTCTAAGTAAAATAGAAAATAGGGCTGAGGATGTGGCTCAGTAGTTGAGTGCCCCTGAGATCAAATCCCAGTACTTTTCTACCCCAACAACAACAAAAAATCTGTGGTCAAATGATTATAGTATATGAAACATTTACAAAAAAATGTTTTTTTGTAAAAAAAAATATTAATACTAGTACCTTAGATATTACTAGATAATTTTAGAAAAATGTTTGTACTTGCTACTGTTTGCAATTTGAGCCTCAGCCACATGTAAGACTCTTGGATTGCTATCTTCACGCTGTAGTCTAGAAGGAAGGGTTTGTAGATAGTAGCTTTTATAATTTTTGTTTTAAACAGGAATTAAGGTTACAAAGTTAAGTAACTTGCCTGTGGACATGCAGCTAAGAGGTAGAGCTGAGTTTAAATGCCAACCCCTCCCAGACACACACACACACACACACACACACACACACACACACTGATTTACTGATGAGTTACTGAACATTATCAGTTATCAGATGTGCTCTTTCCTATTAGCACAGAGATTGGGCCAGATGAAAACTTCACAGATCAGCCAAAAGCCTTTATTCCAAAATGGACTCATGGTTCTGATGGGCCCACTCTCCTGGTGGAAAATGAGCCAAAAGAAAGGGACGGGGCTTATGTAGGTTAATGAGCCCATCACTTTGGGCACTCAGGAATTTGGGGTCTGGTTTATAGATAATGCATGTGTTAGTTTGAGTGCTCAGGAATTTGAATTTTGGGGGTCTGTTCCGCATCTGGAGAAGATTTGCTTTGGGAGAGATTGACAGGTTTGATGAAGTTCCTTCTCCCCACCTGGGGCCAGCATCTGGAAAAGATTTATATGGCTTTCTCTTTCACTCCCTTTTCTCAGGCCACACTGTTTGGGGGGGGGGGGGGTTGACATTTTCCATATCAAATATTCCAGACTCTGAAAGGAAGAAATGAATTGGGCAATGCAGTCTCTAACTTCCTTCTAGGAGGTTGCGATGTGGTGGAAGGAACCTTCCTGTCAAGTGGATATGGGGAGCATGCAGAGGGGGATGTGTGGGTGAAGTTCCTGAGGCCATTGTGAGCGATGTTAATTCTCTATGCTGCTTCAGGAGATCTGACAGCCATGGGAGGAGGGATGTTGTGACTGAGCTGACCACTTTAAGAATACTGTATAACTAAAAATAGGGGAAAAGAAAAAATATAATGGGGAGATTAAATGATCCGTTAGGTTAGGGGAAATAATTTAGCATATGTGATGAAGATTAATAAGCCTACTAGTGTTAGAATAATTCTAGCGTGAAAGAGTCTAAATTGTTAGTGCTGTGAAAATAATTTTGGCATGTAATATAGCTAAGTGCTTTAGTATTCTTAATTAAGGCCTTGGGGTGTTCTTCCCATGAGTTCATGGACTTTGTTCCTTTGGATGGCAAGCATGATTAATCTTGGAACTGTATTTTCCTGGTGGTTTAGTCATTGCCATCCTGCTCAACAAATTATGCAAAATAAGAACAGAAATTCAATTAACAGTATAGTTAAGGCTAGTAATCCAGCTACATGTATAGGGTTGAGAGAGGAGATTCCTTCAGCTGAACTGTCCCAAATTCATTATTAAAAGTGTTTGGGCATTAACCATGGCCAGGACCTGAGATTATAATTTTTTTTTGAAATATTTATTTTTAGTTGTTGATGGACCCTTATTTTATTCATTTATTTATATGCAGTGCTGAGAATTGAACCCAGTGCCTCACAACATGGTAGGCAAATGCTCTACCACTGAGTCACAACCCCAGCCCCAAGATTGTAATTTTAACAGCCAAAGAATCTATTACGAAAAAGATCAAGTCCCATTAGATGATTGTTTACACTCTGCCATTGAACCTCAGTGTCATTGTATTGAACTGTAGTAAGACAAAAAGGAGTAATAAAATGCACTACCGTACATCTTGTACTTGTTCTTGCCATATAACAGAATCTTTTAGTTGCTGCACCTCACTTAGAATTTCCTGATCAGTATGTACTTGAGTTTGCCAGGTTTTAATATAATTCTTACAGAATTTCTGAAGATGATGCGTTGTTTGGACCTGTTGGTGTAAGACCACTGCTGCCACGGAGGCAGAGGCAATGAGGCCAGCAAAACCAACAATACCAATTATTAACAACTATAAACCCCTTAGCTCGGTGCTTTAAGTGTCTTAGCAACTCTTGCATGAATGCTACTGAAGATGTTTCCCGCCATGGTTCTTTCAATTTTACAGGGAGCCAGGTAGCTACTGGTCTTTTGAGAATCATAACAGTTTGTCCTTGACT